GGAGCGGTGATGACCAGAAACAGTGCTGTATCCTAGCTACGGCATCCCTCGGATGTCCTACAAAAAGCAGACTTTTCAGGGCATCTGAGAACTCAGCTGCCAAGAGGCAGCTGAACAACAGTGATGGTTAATTTTACATCAACTTGACTGGGCTAAGGGACGCCCAGATGCCTGGTAAGGCATTATCTCTGGGTGTGTCTCTAAGAGCATTTCTGGAAGAGAACTGGTAGAGTAAGGATGGCCCTTGCAAATCTGGGTGGGCATCATCCAACCAGCGTGGGGCCTGAATGGAAGGAGGCAGTTAAGGGGAAATTTTGCTTGCTCTTCACTTGAGCTGAGACCTCCAGCTTCTGCCCTCAGACATTGTGCTCCTGGTTCTTGGGCTTTTAGACTTCAACCAGGAGCGCCATCAGCTTCTATAATTGTCAGGCCTTGCCCGCAGGCTTTCCCGGTTCTCCAGCGTGCAGATGGAAGATGGCAGATGGTGGGACTTCTCAGCCTCCACTACCGCGTGAGCCAATTCCTCTAAGGACTATCCTTGTCTATCTGTATCTCTACATCCTATTGGTTCTGTTTCTCTACACAGCAACTCATGTCAAGGGAGCAGAGACATGCTTCCTCCAAGTCTTCTTACTAATCAGCAGTGGTAGAGTGCTGGCAGACTTCAGTATAACAGGAGAGAAGCTTCCAGAATTAGAAAACAGAGCCTAATAAAATCTTTAAAAAGGGGGGGGGGCGCCTGGGTGGCTCAGTCATTGGGCATCTGCCTTCTGCTCGGGTCATGGTCTCGGGGTCCTGGGATCGAGCCCCGCGTCGGGCTCCCTGCTCCACAGGAGGCGTGCTTCTCCCTCTCCCGCTCCCCCAGGTTGTGTTTCCTCTCTCGCTGCATCTCTGTCAGATGAATAAATAAAATCTTAAAAAAAAAATTTTTTTTTAAAAAGGAGGTTGGGGACACCTGGGTGGCTCAGACAGTTAAACGTCTGCCTTTGGCTCAGGTCATGATCCCAGGGCCCTGGGATCGAGTCCCGCATCAGGCTCCTTGCTCAGCAGGGAGCCTGCTTCTCCCTCTGCTTGTAAGCTTGCTCGTTCTCTCTCTCACCCTCTGACAAAACCAAGAAAAGAGAAAGAAAAGGAAAGGAAAGGAAAAGAAAAGAAGAAAGAAAGAGAGAAAAAGAGAAAAAAAAGAAAACAGAGCCTAGGGGTGCCTGAATGGCACTGTTGGTTAAGCGTCCGTTTGATTTCTGCTCAGATCATGATATTAGGGTATTAGGGTGCTGGGATCAGAGCCCCACATCTGGCTCTGTGCTCAGCGGGGGTGGGTGGGTGGGGTCTGCTTCTCCCTCTCCCTCTGCTCCTCCCCCTGACTCTCTAAAATAAATCAATAAATCTTAAAAAAAAAAAAAAAAGGAAAGAAAACAGAGCCTATTCCCCAATCTTCAAACAAATCACTCATTTTCTGAGAGCAGAAATAATAGGCAGGAGACAGAAAACAGGATAAATCCACTGCCTTAAAAAAAAAAAACCCAACAACAAAAAACCAAAAACAAAAAGCTGAAAGTGTGAATTGGTTAACTGGAGATTATTATATTCCCCCGTCAATACCGTGGTGGTGAGGCACAGCTGCCCTAGAAAAACTCCTTATATTGTTATGTAACTAAACACTTTGAAAAATTAACTGTAAAGAGCTACTCAAGACACCAGCAGAGCAAAACTGCAGCAAAGCCCACTCTTGCTCCCGTAAATAACGGAGCTGTTTGCCAGAAGAAAACACAGCACTCAAGGACTCCTCAGACCCCACGGGCGCATGCTATAAAGATGGCAATGTGTGGGTCGGATGCATCGGGGCCGCCACAAACCCTCCCAACTCAACCCAAACACTTCCCTTAAAACCTGTGCCTCGGTCTCTTTCCGTCTCCGGCTGCCGTAGCGAGAGGAGCCGCAGCCATGTCCGCCCACCTGCAGTGGACGGTCGTGCGGAACTGCTCCAGCTTCCTGATCAAGAGGAACAAGCAGACCTACAGCACTGAGCCCAACAACCTGAAGGCTCGCAACTCGTTCCGCTACAACGGGCTGATTCACCGCAAGACCGTGGGCGTGGAGCCGGCGGCCGACGGGAAAGGCGTGGTGGTGATCATGAAGCGGCGATCCGGCCAGCGGAAACCCGCCACCTCCTACGTTCGAACCACCATTAACAAGAATGCCCGGGCCACCCTCAGCAGCATCCGGCACATGATCCGCAAGAACAAGTACCGCCCAGATCTGCGCATGGCTGCCATTCGCAGAGCCAGCGCCATCCTGCGCAGCCAGAAGCCTGTGATGGTGAAGAGGAAGCGGGCCCGCCCCACCAAGAGCTTCTGAGCACCTGCTCCTGCCTCTAAAGCAATAAAGATGTCAGCCTCAAAAAAAAAAAAAAAAAAAAAAAAAAAAAAAAAAACCTGTGCCTCAATAAAGCAAGATCATCTGTTCCAAGAAGAGGAAAAGTGTATCCTGTGAAGATGGCCTCTCCTAAGTGGCAAGCCCCTTTGCAAACAGTCTTTCCTAGGCAAATTTCGGTCAATCTGATGTAGAGCTCAAAGAAGTTTGCAGAGTTTGAAGCACAAATGCCTCTTTCGTTGACCTGATTGATCAAGTTTTGATAAAAATAAAATTGGAAAAAAGATAACATTTTAGAAGCAAAGAGGAGCCAAGTAGAAGCAACCATCCTATTAAATTCTAGTTCTCTAACTTCAAATACCTACACTGAATCTATCACTCGGATGGGGTGTGTTTCAAAGCTTCCACCACTAGCCAGGGCTGAAGAGCACAATTTCTCGCTCCGAGCTCATCTAGATTGTTTAGGAGACCCCTGAATTCTCTCTTTGGAAGGTTTAAAAAGGAGAATTTTTAAATTATCTATGGGAGAATATAGGGAGAATTCTATAGTGTATTTCTTTTTCTATGGAAAACTACAGTAGTCTGTTTGAATACAGTGATTCACAGCAAGCTCCAAATAAACATGCCTTATCTACAAAACCAGTAGTCCTACAGTAAGGATCTATTTAAATGCAAGTTTCTTAATTTCTTATTCATTATTGGCTTGCAACTTCATAATCACTCAACACCTCACTGTTCATTCCAATGTTAAAAATTATGATTTCCATATGTGAATAACCAAGTCCAAGATATTGTACTATGAGAAGTGCTTCTAAATTTAAAATGATTGTGTTCAATCCTTAAGAGCAGAATCCACAAAGGCAAAAAACAAACAAAACCATAAAAACTTAACTTCTAAAGCAAACTTCCCTCAGTTTTCATTGCCAAAATGATACAACCTAAAAATTTTCAAATGACTGGGGGGCGCCTGGGTGGCTCAGTTGGTTAAGCGACTGCCTTCGGCTCAGGTCATGATCCTGGAGTCCGGGATCGTGTCCCACATCAGGCTTCCTGCTCAGCGGGGAGTCTGCTTCTCCCTCTGACCCTCTTCCCTCTCGTGCTATCATTCTAATAAATAAAATCTTTAAAAAAAATGTTTTTTCAAATGACATATTCCTTTTAGGATACACGCACTCCTATGTTTCTAGCATTATTTACAATAGCCAAGATATGGAAGCACCCCAAGTGTCCATCGATTAATGAATGGATAAAGATGTGGTGTGTGTATAATGGAATATTAGTCATAAAAAAGAATGAAATCTTGCCATTTGCAGTGACTTGGATGGAGCTAGAGAGTATCATGCTAAGCAAAATTTCAGTCAGAGGAAGACAGCATACGATTTCACTCATATGTGAAATTTAAGAAACAAAACAAGCATGGGGGGGGAGACAAACCAAGAAATGGTTCTTAATTACAGAGAACTGATGGTGACCAGAGGTGAGGGAGGAGGGGGTGGGTTAAATAGGTGATGGAGATTAAGGACTGCACTTGTGAGGAGCACCAGGTGACCTACGAAAGTGCTGAATCACTAGATTGTACACCTGAAATTAACATTACACTGTATGTTAACTGGAATTAAAATGAAAACTTGACTTATCCCTTTTATAACTCAATCATGGAAACAATTTATCTGAAAGAATATCGTATTTCTATACTAATTGCCTCAGAGAAATGTTTATAGAAGGCCTTATTTTGTAAAGTCATGAAACTTTATACAGTGCATTTATCACCACCTCTCCACCCTAGAACTTCCCACAGGAGAGGCCTGTCTTCGAACAGGAACTGGACACAGCGCCAAAGGGAAAATTTTCAGCCAAATATATGTGTATTTAAATTTTTTTTTTTTTAAGATTTTATTTATTTGACAGAGAGAGAGAGCACAAGCACAGGGAGAGGGAGAGCAGGGAGCCCGATCCGGAGCTTGATCCCAGGACCCTGGGGTCATGACCTGCGGCAAAGGCAGAGGCTTAACTGACAGAGCCACCCAGGCACCCCATGTATTAAAAAATTAAAGAAGTTGTTATAGTGAACATTCCCCCAAAGTGGCATCCAGAAAAAACACAACTTATTCTAATATAACCACATGAAGACATTCCAAATTTATTTAGCATCGGATACGCAACAGAGAATTCCATCTTTGTTCTTTGCAACTGGTTGAAAATTTCTATTCTTGCAACTTACAAAACAAAGGAAATAAAACAGTCGATGGGTCACAGAAAGTTCTATCCCAAAGGAGTAGACTTAGTGTAAAACAAAAAAGGGCGGGGAGGGCCTGACAAGAAAAGGGTTCCCATTTTAAAACAATTCCGTGTTCTCACCTCACCATCCCTCGGTGACCCCCAAACGGGGTTCTTACTGCCCAACCAGGACGGCGTCCTTCACGGTGGCGGCGATCACCAGAGGGTCACAACACGTTCTCACTATGTCCTGGGAGGAAAGTGAGAGCAGAGAGTTCCGACCTGGCTTCGCATGCTGTCTTTCAAGCTCTGCTTCCGGTCTTCTAAGTCGGCAGCCTACTTGGGCCGGTGCTAAAAGACTTTTCAATATGAGGAAGACAGCACTGATAAAACACAAGGTGAACCGAGACTGCACATGTAAAAGAAGACATTTATTATGCTAAATAACATGTTTTATTTTTCATTTTCCCCCAAACACTAAAATAGCACACGGCATAGCAAGCTAGCACACAAACGGAGAGAGGCAACCAGTAACCCCGAAACTGGTTAAGTCTTACTTTGGGACTCCTGAAAAACTCACACTCTGAAGGGACCTTTACCAGAGTTCTCAACCACCAGAGGGGTTACCTCAGAAAAAATGTTAGTGTAAGAGACACCTCCGCTCCTGGAAACTGGAAACTTTCTACCGGGGCAGTACAAGGTCTGTCTCCCCCTAACGGAGCTACCGCAGATGGTCTCAAGGTCATTTCTATTTCAGGCGACACTGCCAGGGCTCCTAGTTTAAGGATTATACTAAAAGGACACTGAATATTGCAACTTTCACCGTAGGGCCTCCATTTAAACTGCATTTCAAGGGGAAGGAAAGGGATTTGAGAAAAATAAAACTTTGCTGCATACCCAAATTATTCTACAGAATGCAGAAATGGTGGCAGGGCCAAGAGCAGGTAGGGAAGGGCTGATATTAACAAACGGCCACTTTCACCCGATGTTCAGTCTGAGGAGACAGTATCTGGGACGGTAGCCCTTTAGAATGAGCGTTGAAGATAAAGAATGTTATTACATCTTTACGTTGTAACCTGACATTTATATAGGATCTATGAATGTTCTCCTTGAAATGGTATCCCAATACTGAATGTCTTTCAAGCATGGGTTAAAACATGTTCAAAACTCTCCTGTCACATCAACCAACTTCCCATGAGTTTAAATTCCACTTAAAGTTTGTCTGATCATACAAACTGAAGCAGGAACTTCACGGCTGCCCCGTGCGCATCCAGACTCAGTGTGAAAGAAATCATTCTAAGACAACTTTTAAAATTAATCTCACTATTTTTATTGTTCGGCTTGTACCTTAACTATGGCGTAACGGATTTGCTACTTCAAAAGCTGGTAGAGCCAGTAACCCCAGTATTATTTGCAGATCGTTTGAGGTACTTTTTATACTTGAAAGCATTTTCTTGTATTCTACCGTTTGCTCTGAAAACAGGGGCTCTGGGTGGCCAAGGAAAACACATTTTGTCTCATCATTCAGGAAAACTTTGGGGCATGCATGCAGCAGTGTAGACAGGACGAAATGCAGGCCAGACAGTTCCAACTCAAAGCCTAGCCCCTCTAAAAGAGCACTTGGCGGTTCCTCCTCAGAGATCCCCATTTCTGATCGCTTCTGAGAGCACGGTAGTCCTGACGCCCAAGGCTCTCCTGGGCGGCACCATCCTCCATGGCTGTCGGTGGCCCTGGGCCCTCCTCCCAGCCAGTGCCTCACCAGAGCATCCCCCACTCCGCAGGACACCCCAGAAAAACGCTCTTCTGCAAGAGCACAGAACACATGCACAGTCTTGCTCTGACCCACCACGGAAGCTGAATTTCTTCTTAATGATTCTTTCAGACACAGAAGCACTTTGTTGCTGCTGTGAAGCAAGAGGCTGGCCTCGCTCGGAGCATTTTTCATTTCCATTGACAACTCCTCCTTTTGTGAATTTCCATCCACATCAACCGCAGGTATTTGCACACAGGAGGAGGAAGGTGTATCTGTCAGGCAAAGGCTCTCCTCCTGTGCTCTTTCAAGTCCATACAGCAGCCTGTCTGAGTCCTCTCCCGCCCCCTTCACCTTCCTGAGGCAGGTGCCCAGGGCTCCCACTCTGTCCCTCATGCTGTGTGTTCTCTGATGTGGTGAGCCTGACGACACGCCTCTGTCAGTCAGCGGAAGGCCTTCAATGGATCTCAATATGAACCTGGAAGAGATAATCCAATTAAAAGTATTATGAAGACAGAGTCTTAAAAGAGCCTACATACACCAGGTACTACCTAACAAATATGAAGATCTCTTTAACAGTCTCTGGCACCAAGGATTCCCATAATTTGATAGAAAACAGGATGACAACCTACCAGTTAGAGATCACAACAAAAAGAACATACTTTAAAAAAACACACAGTACTTTATTAATGCAGTGTTTCCTTAAAAAATACTTAAAAATTTTAAAAAAATACATCCTTAGGTTTTGTACTTTTCACAACTATTTAGTTATTTCTGTGGGTTCAATAAAAATCTGTCCTCTCTTTAATCAGGACATAACTGGATGACTCTATTATGCAAACCAAGGCTCTGACATGTCCTATTTGAGAATGATTCTCAATGACTCAAGCAGGACAAGCCACTTTTAAGGAATCAAGGTCAATTTTATTTACAGATCTAATGTCCACAAAGCCCTCCCAAGAAAAACCAGCATGGAGGGGTCCTGGCATACAACATTGCAGCCTCAAGGTGGTAAGGAAGATCACTGGCTGGCAGGTCAGGAACCTTAGCAAATTTTGGAGCCTTGATAAGAGAAGAATTCACCCGAATTTATAGGTACTACAAGTAAAAACATGATGGAGAAAGTTTCTTGGGCTTACCTCCCCACTCTCAGACTCGCCCAGTCCGAGATTCTGCGTGAAAACTTCAGGACAGAAGTTGATTTGTGACCTCAGCAGTTGTTCAAGAGCAAACTCAAGGTGACTCATATGGTTAACACTCTTGCTGCACCTGCAACCCTAATGGGACCAGCCTTTTTCTATGACCCAAGAATCATCTTTCTTTGCCATAGTTACACCCCCAATGGGGAAGATATGTCAGGAAAGGCTGTGAAAGGGCCCTGAGACGGGCAAACAATAAGCTGACTGGGCGTGCTGTCCAGTGCGTCCTTGTGTTACCTAAGTTTATGGGGCCCTGCACCTGTCTGAGCTGCTGTACGAATGTGAGTTGTGAAAAATGTGAGAGGAAGGCAAAATATTTTTTAAAGATTTTATTTATTTATTTGAGAGAGAGCATGAGAGGAGGGAAGGCAAAATATTTTTAATTTATGCTTCTTTTTGTGTATTTTTTTTAAGATTTTATTTATTTGACAGAAAGAGAGATCACAAGTAGGCAGACAGGCAGGCAGAGGCAGAGGAGAAGCAGACTCCCCACAGAGCAGGGAGCTCGACTCCGGGCTCGATCCCAGGACCCTGCGAAGGGTCTTGAGGACTTGAGCCGAAGGCAGACGCTTAACCGACTGAGCCACCCAGGTGCCCCCAAGGCAAAAGATTTCTTATCCAAAGAAATTAAAAATTTTGTTCAGAGGAATGCAATTATTACCCTGTGGATACTGACCATTTCTTACATCCATTTGTACCTCACTTTGGTGTTCCTGGTTACATGTGCGTGCATATTTTGTCTAAATTCTCTTTTAAGCTGCTTATAGCATCTCACTAACTCCTTCATTAATTGAGGAATTTAAAAAAATGTTGACCCATGGTCCTTTAAAAAACCACCATAACCCCAGAGCATTAATACATGGAAAATAAATACATAAACTGTATTTAGAAATTTTTCTAAAAGGCCAGCCTAAAGAAGAACAATCTAACGAAAACACACAACTCTGCTGGGAGAAAGGAGGGATGGAAACGTGGGACGTGAGGCAGAAGCAGCCTGGGAGCAGACAGCCCATCTCCCACAGTAAGACAAAGATGAAGCCTAAGAGTGAAGAGTCAGGAAGCAACAAGCGTGCGATACAGAGAGAAATATGCACAAGGAGAACCAGCTGTAGCTGAGAGGCTTGGCTATGGGGACAGAGAAACAGGGGGCAGGAAGCTGCAGTTTCTCTAACCAGGGGACCTAGCTAAGGTAAGTGTGTTACGTTTTTATAAAAAATGTAAAGAGAGTACACTGGGAAGAAAATAAACAAGAATTACTGGAGGCTGAAGTAGAAGCAAAAAGAGCAAAGGGAGGGGGTGTGAAGCCAACCAGGGCTAACAAGAGGCACTGGTCACGGTGTAAGGAGCGTGGCCTCCATCAGCAGGCGATGCAGAGCCACTGAGGGACGTTCGGCCGGGAGACGTTGGCTGGATCTGCATTTCCGATTAATTCCTTGGCTGCAGTGTGGTGGCTAGACTGGAAAGGAATCACAGTAGACCAATTAGGAGGCTATTGAATAGCACAGGGAAACAGTTGAGGCTGTGGGTGAAGAGGAGAGAGAAGATATTTTTCCACTTGGTGGCGGATGGATGTAGAAAGAGGACCACAGGTTTCTCTGGCTTTCACTTCTGGGTAATGAAAGCATCACGAACAGAGAATGGAGAGGGAACAGCAGGTCGGGAGGGACGTCAAACAGCTCAGATGGGAGACGGGAACACACAGAGTTTGACTGTGGGAACGGGCAAGCATTTGGATTATTAATAAAGCTGTTAGCTCAAGAGTGATGTCAGAGCTGGGACCTAGATTCTGAAGTCGCCGGCTTTGGGGAGGTGGACAAAAAAGAGAAAATGGTAAGGTACAGAAGGCCAGGATCTCCAAGATCTAGCGAGGGCCCCAAAGCCACAGAGGAGGAAGATTCAAAGCACCTCGAGAAACTCCGTGTCACAGATGCCAAGAGCATCGAGCGCTTCAAAAAAGAGGGCGGTTATGGGGCAAATGGGTGGCTCAGTTGTTAAGCGTCTGCCTTAGGCTCAGGTCATAATCCCAGGGTTCTGGGATTGAACCCCACATCAGGCGCTCTGCTCAGCGGGAAGCCTGCTTCTCCCTCTTCCACTTCCCCTGCTTGTATTCCCTCTCTTGATGTCTCTCTGTCAAATGAATAAATAAAAAATAAAATAAAAACTAAAATAAGATAAAAAATAATAAAATAAAATAAAAAATTCTTAAGAAAAACACATCATTTAATAGGAACCAACTCTCAGGAAAATTTGTTTTTTTTTTAAAGATTTTATTTATTTATTAGAGAGCGAGAGAGAGAGAAACAGCATGAGAGGGGAGAGAGTCAGAGGGAGAAGCAGGCTCCCCACTGAGCCGGGAGCCCAATGTGGGACTCGATCCTGGGACTCCGGGATCATGACCTGAGCCGAAGGCAGTCGCCCAACCAACTGAGCCACCCAGGAGCCCAGGAAAATTAGTTTCTAACTACTTTTAGCATGTCCTTGTACAAGGACTTGGTGCTGTTCAGAAAATACTTCAGCTAAGGTACCACTAATATAATCATATATTTAGTAATGTTAGAACATGTTGTTTACTGAAGATGTAGTTCTTTAGTAAATTCAGTAATAAAACTACATATTTAATCTCTTGACAAAAATATTTCGGATCAGTGAAAACATTTTGGGCTCTGACCCCTCAACTAGCCAACAAATTGGTTTTTTTTGGCCAACAAAAACTTCTGATACTACACACACACATTACTTATATTTTGAGAGCCAGAAATAATTTTCAAATAATTTCTAAACAAGCAAAATATTTTAATTTTTTTTTAAAGATTTTATTTATTTTTTGACAGAGAGAGACATAGTGAGAGAGGGAACACAAGCAGGGGGAGTGGGAGAGGGAGAAGCAGACTCCCCGCTGAGCAGGGAGCCCGATGCGGAACTCGATCCCAGGACCCTGAGATCATGACCTGAGCCGAAAGCAGATGCTTAACGACTGAGCCACCCAGGCGCCCCAAAATATTTTTTTAAAGATTTTATTTATTTGACAGAGAGAGTCATAGCGAGAGAGGGAACACAAGCAGGGGGAGAAGCAGGCTCCCCACTGAGCAAGGAGCCAGATGCGGGACTCAATCTCAGAACCCTGGGATCATGACCTGAGCCAAAGGCAGATGCTTAACACTGAGCCACTCAGGCACCCCACAAGCAAAATATTTTTTATTGAAGTACAGTTGACACACTATATATTAGTTTCAAGTGTACACGAAAGTGATTCAACCACCTTATCCATTATGCTCTGCTCCCCACAAGTATAGCTACCATCTGTCACCATACAACGCTACAATACCACTGACTATATTCTCCATGCTGTATCTTCCACGCCCATGACTTACTCATTCCATAACTGAAAGCCTGTACCTTCCACTCCCCTTCACCCATTTTTCCCATTCTCCCACCACCCACCTTGGGGGGACCCATCAGTTTGTTACCTGTATTTATGGGTCTGTTTCTTTTTTGGTTTGTTCATTTGTTTTATCTTTTAGATTCCACGTATAAGTGAAATCATATGGTATTTGTCTTTGTGAAATATTTTTATAACTTATTCTCACTCTACTACATATATTGGTACATCACATTGTACCCAGTAAAATACACATAATTACATAATTAACTGTCCTTAGCCCTAGAAATCTCATCCCCACACCCACCCCCATGTTAAGTCTACAAAATGATAAGCAGCATAAACTCTGGCAAACAAACTTATCCACCAACACGGAGACCATCAGAGTAAAGGAAGGAGTCTATTCTGAAGTTCAAGACAGTTTGATTCAGAAAAAAATAAAGTGCAGTACTGGGAGTAAGTTCCTGAATGTACTCCCTCACCCGGTAACAAAGGTTGAGAGTTGAACCACAAAACCAGAGGGGTGATGTGTAAGAGAAACAAGATTATCTGGTCTTGGATGTCTTGATCTTCAGGGCAGACAGGAGAAATCCTCCACAAAAATCCCTGCCTGCGGGAGGCAGCTGACCTGCTGCATAACAATAGGCCTGACCCAATTTGACAGCGGCTGTACTCCTGGGCTGTCGCCTTACCTTCTTTAACCTGAGCTATTAATGGCCTCAGGGACCTGACAGTCTGGATACCACCTCGCTGTAAACTAAAAATAACCTGTCCTCTATGCTTCTGAAAGCCAGCTGGCAAGGCTATTCCCAAAGGGGGCTGGGAAGAAGACACAGCTCAAGGAGCAGGGTTGGGACAACAATGGGCTTAGAGTTGGGTCCTGCCTCACAACGGCTCCCAAACACGCTCCAGGCCCATCCCTGCCTCGCCTGGCTTCTAGAGCTTCCAGATGTGAACTTAACATTGCTGTGCTCATGACTAAAACAATCAGACTAAGGAGGTGGCCAAAACACATTCCTCAAATTGCTACCTGGGGCACCTGGCGGGTGCAGTCCATAGAGCATGCAACTCTTGATCTCGGGGTCATGAGTTCAAACCCCATGTTGGGTGTAGAGATTACTTAAGGAAATACCAAATAAAATTTTTAAAAATAATAAGACTTTAAAAAAAAAAGGTGCTACCCAGCTCAAAGGATGAGAAACAGGAACAACTCAGTCATGTCCACATGAAGCTGAATCATAACCACAGGGAACACTAAAGAGTGCTTAGTTCCTGTTACTAAGCATTCAGCACATCCAAATCAAACCTGCCCCCAAACAAAGCCAGTCATGCAGCTCTTGCTAGCCACCACCCTGTTTCCTCTTTCTTCCACCTGCCTGCCAAAGGTGCGCTGAGACGTGGGCTGTGTCACAGCTCGGGGACCTCTGGCAATCCTCTGTCCTGAGCGTGCTGTGAGGACTCTGCGTGAAAGCGCCCAGCAACTTCTCTGACCGGCATTCCAAAAACAGCAGCTATCATCATCATCCAAGAGTGTTTTAGGGAACAACAAAATGGGGCTGCGGGGCGGTTCTATGAAGCAGAAGACGCAGGAGTGACCACTGGATGGCAACATGGAAGTGGCCTCAACACGGGCCGTGTGTTCCGTGGAGGGGTAGAAGCCGAGGCCCAGGCTGCAGTGGCCGACCAGTGAAGGGAGCATTTTAACTTTTAAAATTATTTACAAATGGGAGAGAAATGAAATCATGTCCACACAAACCCTATACGTGAATGTTCACAGCAGCATTACTCACTCATAATAGCCAAAAAGTGAGAACAGCCTGAATGTCCAACTGATGGATATGAGAGACAAAAAAGTCTACGGAAGTGTCACAGATTGGAGGAGACATGGCAACTAAAAGCAGTGTGGGGTCCTGGAACAGGAAAAGAACACAGTGGGAAAAACTGGTAAAATCCCAATGTGTTGGACTGATGTTCATCTCTG